GAATCAATCCATCTCATAGAGGGTCTTCCCCTCCTGCGCTGTCCCTCCACCCTCCCAAACATGATGTCCCTCTCCAAGGACCCGTCCCTCCTGGCAACATGTCCAAAGTATGTCAGACGAAGCCCCAGAATCCTTGTCTCCAAGGAGTAGCTAAACCAAGCCATTAGAGCTTCCTAAATAATGATGAATACTTTTGAATTGATGATGAATACATGATAAACTTTGCATGATGAATACAACAAAGACTTTTAAAAATAATTTGAATAGTAATTTGTTTATTTTATCAAATTTAGATATTTATATTTATTAATGAAGCTTAAATTTTGTGTTTGCATTAATTATCTCAGATCCAAACTATAAAGCAAAGGGTTTATCAAAAAAGATTGAGAACTATTATAATCATATGTAAGATGCATAATAGGGAAGGAATAATTTAAGGTCATAGCAAATCATTCTTGGGGGCTTCTTCTGTAGATTGGGAAGACAAGAACATAATTTCAGAGGTCTCTACTGGCTTAAAAAGAATTAATAGTGACCAAAAAAATACACATGGTGCACATAGTCGATCATTGTGAATTTTCCAATAGACCTGTACACATGCATGTAACACGTTGTTGTTGTTGCTGTTGTTGTTGTGTGCTGTCGAGTCATAGACGACTCATAGTGACCCTATGAATGAAAGGCTTGAGCATTGTTCATAGGGTTTCCGGAGGCAAGCCATTTCGGAAGTGGATGACACTCCTGCTTCCAGACTTGTTTTAGTTGGGAAGCTCCAGCAAACACTGTCCACCATGGGTGACCATTATCATGTTTGACACATCTGTGTCACAGTAGTCAGCATCACAGCAACCACGAGTTACCTCTGTACAGCAATGCACAGACCAGTGTACCACCTTAGAACTCATTGTCTAATGTTTTGTTGAATGCAAGAGCTGGAATACAATAAGATACATTCTCAAGTAAACTCAAATTTCTGCAGCTAGAATTCTAGCATTATATCCATAAATAAGTTATTTAACTCCCTGATTTGAAAATAACTTGGCCATATCAGTATTAGTCATGTCTTTACTCAGCCGCTAGAGCACTAACTCTAGGATTATGAAAATAGTCAAAACATATACAGATGTGTGTATTTATTATTTGTCCATAGATTATTTTGAGAAATAAAAGGAAGCCATAACATTTACAAAAATGGAGATATGAGGGATTTTATGGAGTAGGTGACTTCAGGGTTACATGAAAGTATATTTTATACCTACATTTATACAGATAATTAAGCTATGTTCCTTCTAAATGAAAAACACTAAGAAAATATGATGGTGTCTAAAAGTTCCAGAATCTCAATAATTGCACAAGTTTAGTACACAACTCCCTAACTGAAGTCTCTTGACAGAAGTCTTTTCAGAGCTGTCTTAACCTCTTTGTTTCTCAAGGTGTAGATCAAAGGATTAAGAGAGGGAGTCACTACAGTATAGAAAAGTGTGAGGAATTTACTATGATTCTGTGTGTACTTGCTCTTAGGTTGGATGTAGACACAAATTATTGTCCCGAAGAACAAAACTACAACAATCAGGTGAGACCCACAGGTTCCAAAGGCTTTTCTTCTGACTTCAGCTGATTTTATTCTCAGCACACTCCTCACAATGCAGCCATAAGAGACCAAAATGAGTCCCAGAGGTAAAACCACATAGAGGACACAAGCTACAGATAGCTCATTCTCCAAGAAAGTTGTGTCTATGCATGCAATTTTTATGAGAGCAGGCTCTTCACACACAAAATCATCCACCCTATGGTGACTGCATAGAGACAACTGGAAAACAAGCGTGGTCTGTACTGTTGACTCCAGAAAACCACTAATCCATGCCACAGCTGTTAATTGCCAAAGACGTTTGGGGTGCATGATAACGCAATAGTGGAGGGGTCGACAGATAGCATTGAAGCGATCATAGGCCATTACAGTTAGAAGAATACATTCTGTGGAGCCCAACCCCAAAACACAGTATAGTTGGATTACACAACCAGTGTAGCTAATGGTCTTCTCGGGGCCTTTAATATTCCAAAGCATCTGTGGGACAATACTGGTTGTGAAACAAAGGTCCAGGAAGGAGAGATTTGAAAGGAAGAAGTACATGGGCGTGTGGAGTTTGGGATTCAAATATGAAACGAGTATTATGGCTGTGTTCCCCATCAATGTCAGAATATATATGATAGATATGAGTGCAAGGAGAATCCACTCCACCTGGGGCAAATCAGAAAATCCCAGTAAGATGAAACCTGCAGGCTTGCTGGCATTTGTTCCTTTCAAGACTTTTAAATTATGAATCAACATTCTTTATTGTTCCTATTTATTCCTGTGGGAGAAAATATGATTTTATAAGCAATGTAAATGGGGGGGAACCTCGTAAAACTTGAGCATTTGAAAACTTTAAATATAGAAGAGAAAGAGACAAAATAATCTGAAAAGTATGTACAATCGATTGATGTGAGATAGATAAATACACGGACAGATGATAGATAGATAGATAGATAGATGATAGATAGATAGATATGCACCATAGAGTCAGAACTGACTTATAGCTGATCATCCAGCTATTTTAGCTTTAAAATCAATGTATTAAATTAACTATTATCTCAATTTTGATAGACCAAGTAACATTTAAATATATCAGTTCCATTCTTGACCTCACTTTTCACCATGATACTTGTCTCAAGATAATGACTCTAATATGATAAATGCATCTGAGTTTAATTAACACAATTTTTAAAACAACCAGATCTCCATCTTCAGCTGGTTTTAAGAGACAATACAATCTCACAGGAGAAGATTGCCCACATAGTAGTTAGCAGCTGGTAGATTCAAACTGCTTGCTTTTGGAATGGCTGTGAAACTCCTTACCACTAGGCCACCGAGGCTCGTGCTAACTCTCTCTCTCTCTCTCTCTCTTCCCCCCCCTCCCTTTCTTTCAGTGGATTAGTGGCAAAGAATTGAACTGCTAATGCAAAGGAATGTGGTTCAAATCCACTAAATGCTCTATGGGAGGATGGGCACTCTCTTCCCACGTTGATTAACTGCCTCAAAAAACCCTCTGGAAGGTCGGCTTTGAGTCATTCCAACTCAGTGCCACAATGCAACAACAGAAGATAATAGATGTGGGTATAGATGTAGATAATTAATACAGAAGTCACAGAAAAAGCAATTATATTGAAAAAAGCAAGAATATAATAAATCATAATCATATATCAAAACAGATATGAACCAACCACTTTAAAATTTAATACATAAACTAAAAGTCTATGCACTATGGAAAATTTGAAAAGACATCAATTTTTGTGAATATAGATACATAACAGAGAATGCAAAAAACCAAAATTCTACCATATTAGAATAAAATATTTACTCTGAGAAATTATTCTACATGCTTATTGGAAGGCAATTTTGATTTCACAAAAAATAAATGACTCAGCTAACCACACTAAAAGAGATTACAGAATGGTCAAAAAATGTGGAAATAGACTCAGAAGGTAAAGACAAGGATTACTTGTCTGAAAACTTCTAGTGGAATCCTGAAACAATGGCAATGAATAGCCCTTCAAATCCAGAACAAAGCTCATCCTTTCAGGGCAAATGTAAGACAGACAATAAATTTATAGGGTGAACAAATAACTTCAAAAAGACCCCCACTTCTCAGGAAAATCAACAACACAAAGTCAAAATAGCAGCATTTTCCCAGGAAAAAGTTTAAAATTCAGGACAACTTGATACAGAATGATTAATGGAAACACAAGAGTAAAGTAGGAAGAGCATGATTGCACTGTGAGCATTATATTAAAAAGGAAAATATAATATCTGAATAGTTGAACAGAAAAAGTATTGCCCTACAAATTTTCTCTCAAATCACAATAAAAATAAAATTATAATCTTAATGTTATAAACAAGAAAATGGCTCAAAATAGCTGGTGCAATGACATTTATAAAGGTAAAACTTAAAATGTCAGTCATTATCTAAGCTTAACATGATTGATTGAGCATTCCTCCTTTTACTGAGATTAATAATATCAGGTCATGAGATAAGTGATCTCTTCCTTTAGAATTTTAGTCAGAAACTTTCTAACTATGAATATCTGGTTTCCTTAACAAGAAAATTTTAAAATCAAAGTGAGATAATAATTCTCTTTATTAGACATAATAGATGAACACCGAATGAATAAAGTATTAGAGAGGATATAAAGAGTTGTAGAAAACGATATAATAGTTGGAAATATATAAATAGAAATTACTTTCATTAATATTTATTCCTTTAATTTAGAATTGGTGATAGAATTAAGAGACACTTCTATTATTTGAGTCTTAGAACCTTATGAATATTACTCTCTAGATGAGTCAAATTAAAAAATCCCCATGAGTAAATTCACTTCTTCCACCAAATCCCCACCTCATGGCAATCCTGGTCTGTATAATTTTATTTTATTATATTGATTTTAATGAGTTTCTTTTATTTCAAAACTATGCAAATTTGCTTACACAAAACAATCCATTTTCCTTTCATAAAGTAAATTATATGGAATTGTAAAATAAGACTTGAATCATTAATTTATAAAGATTAAGTATTATACATGTGAAAATTATATTATTGGATCGTAATTTCAGGGTCTTCACATTGACTAGAAAACATGATTATCCTATGAGATCTAAGCCTGCATAACATCCTTTAAAGTGAACAAACAAAACCCTTTGTAATGACAAATTTCTCTCAAATATTAAACCTGAAATCATCAAATAAAACCTTATTTTTAAGAGTTCCAAGCCATTAGCCTGATCTCAGGCAATTATTGCAACACACCACACTATCTTCACTTTCCCTATCCTTTTTACCTTATGAATTTATGTATCCTAGAGCAATCAGTATTTTCCAAGAAGATTCTAGCCTGAAACCCTCTATTTATCTTTCCCATTCTTGTGAATAAAGATCTGGACAAGGATATTTAGATTAGTAAAGAGAAGTTAGCCAATTCTCAATTTTCATGAATACAGTAAATATTTAGTTGCACATAATGAATAACTTCTGTATTTCCTTTATTTTTTCCAGAACAGAAGAAACAAACACTACTTCTTAAGAAAAAAAACAATCCACCTGTAGGAAATTTTGGTTGCTTTGATGAAGTTTCTATCCTGGTCACAATTCCAGAACAGTAAGTGAAGAAATCAAGTAATCTGCTATCCACTACAATCTGCAGCCTCTCTATTGAAGTGTTCTTCAAGTTTATATGTTCATTTTATTTACTTAACATATGTCTCTGGAGCTCTCCTTCTCAGACAATTTCCCATCTCTGTATTGGCAAAGAAGGCAGGTCTCTTGAGAGAAAACCACAAAGGCTTATGTTCTTATGTCTACTAGAAAGCAATCAATTTTATAAAATTAATTTCCTAGCCCATTTTTTAAAAAAAAAATCCATTCCTGAACACACCCATGCAAGCACAGGTACAGGTACATTTTTACTATAAATGCACACATAATCAAAAGACAAATTCTTTTTTTTTTTTACAAATTCAATATTTGTAATGAAAACAGCCTTCAGTTTTGTGTGTTATGTTTTTCATAATGAATATGCAAAGCCAGCTAAGATGATTCATCCATTTACTATACTGATAATTACTTAATTTAGTTTAAAATTGATTATTTTTGTAATGCATATCTATTTTCAACTGTATTTGTACATATACAGATGAATCTCTGTATTCCACCTAAGACATTAAAACATGATTATTGAGAATAAAGTTAGAATGTGATTACTACCCTATAAATTACTGAGAAACAAGAAATTGTGGGAAGGAAATGCATGCTAACATATATTAAAGATGAGAAATGTAAATCATTGTCTTTTCAGAAATGGTTGACTTACATCAGGAAATATATTTCTATCTATTTAACCAGCCTTGGAAACCTTCTTTTTTTATTATTATTTGTTGTTATTGTTTTCTACTTGAAGTACCTCTTAAAGACAATACAATGGTTTCTTTGAGAACTTCTAAAGCGTATTTCAAGCTTTATCCAAAATTGGGGAGCATGAAGGACGTATTAAAACCTCATATACATTTATTTTTAACATCCTAAAAAGTTATCTTTCACTCTGCATTCAACAAAAAATATGAAGACCTGTTTAACATTGTTGGTGTTGTTATGTCCGTCGAGTCACATGCAGCTCATAGCTACCCTAGGTACAACAGCCCTAAACTCTGCTCTGTCCTGTGGCAATTGCACAATCTCTGATACACACCCAACCCAATTACCCCAGTCACTGAATCAATCCACCTCATAGAGGGCCTTCCCTTCCTGTGCTGTCCCTCCACCTACCAAGCATGATGTCCCTCTCCAAGAATCAGTCCCTCCTTACAACATGTCCAAAGTATGTTAGATGGAGCCTCAGAATCCTTGCCTTCAAGGAGCCACCTGGTTTGACCCTTTCCAGGATGAATCTGTTTGTTTTCCTAGCAGTCCATGGTACCCTCAATACTCTTCTCCAGCACCACAGCTCAAAGGCATCAATTCTCCTTCTATCCTCCTTAGTCACTATCCAACACTCTGAGGCATAACAAGTGATAGCAAAGACCATGGCCTGTATCAGACACACCCTAGTCTCCAGAGAGACACCATTGCTCTTTAGTACCCTGGAGAGATCCCTAACAGCAGACTTGCCCATCGCAATACATCTTTTAATTTCCTGGCTACTGGTGCTGAGAGTGTTGACTGTGGAGCCAAGCAAACTAAAATTGCGAACAATCTCAATCTCTTCACCATCCATCCTGATGCTGCCAATTGGCCCACTAGTGAGAATGGTTGTCTTCTTGACATTGAGCTTCAATCCATACTGGAGGGGGCAGTCCTTGACCCTCTGCAGCAAGCACTTCAGATCCTCCTCAGTTTCAGCAAGTAGGGTTGTGTCATCTGCATAACGCAGATTGTTAATAGATCTTCCAACAATCCTGACACCATACTCCTCCTTATAGAGACCAGTCTCCCGGATAATCTGTTCTGCATATAGGTTGAAAAGGTATGGAGATAGGACACATCCCTGGAGTACGCCTTTCCCGATTTTGAACCATGCAGTGTTTCCTTGCTCTGTTCTGACAACTGTCTCTTGGTCCAAGTATAGGTTTCTCATTAGCATCATCAAGTGTTCTGGAATTCCCATTCTTCTCAGAGTCAGCCACAGTTTGTTATGATCCACACAGTAGAACGCCTTTACATAATCAATAAAATACAGATATACACTCCTCTGGTATTCCATGCTTTCAGCTAAGATCCATCTAACATCAGCTACAATATCCCT